AAAAATCTCTCATTCTATTAAGTTCGTATAATCAATATTATGTTAATTTATAAAGGTCTGTTTTGATTTACTTATTTTGACGTGCAGCCTCTTTTACCCAGTCCATATTAAAAATAATCGATTTTGGTAAATCAATCATTTGTCTTAACACCATCATTTGCACCAAAGCATTCGCTTTATTGACATACTTAATATCAAGGGCTGTATCGCCAATCAAGGCATATGCAGGTTCAAAGGTGTACATTTCATCCCAACCTAGGCCACCACATTTTTTAACTGTACGATTAAATAAAGGTTTGCCATTAATATCTTCTAAGTCAACTTTTTGCTTATCCATCAGTATTGTTAATCTTGCAATTTTTGAGTCATATTCATCCGTTCCATCTTCAATACTACCTGTAATTTGACCACAAACTGGATCAATAATTAGATGACTCTTTGTTTCCACATGAAAAATATACAATTCATTAAATGCTGTTCGTGATATGGCATAAAAATGTCCACCCAGTTGCTTTTCATAGTCTGTGCCTGCCAACCATGCATCCACCACAGGTTGCCATTCATTTGGATTTACAAATTGATAAGCACCCTGTGCAAACTGACAAAAGCCCTTTTGTTTCCAAATTTCTATCAGTGTTGGACTAAGTACAGACTCATATTGATTAATGATCTCTATTGGTACAGGACGAGTATTAGTAATCTCCCCAAGCTCATCAACCATCATTTCTAATCGCGCTAAAGACATATAGCTTTCCTTTTTATTTACATAATTCAAATTTAAAGTTTAATCGAGCATTACCTTTATTATCATCGATGGCTTTTTTCGCATATTTGTCCATTTCTTGAATATACTTACGCCACTGTGTACCTATTGAAGAATTCACGCTAGCATCACCCATACATGTCGGTTCAGGGTCATTATAGCCACCTGCAAACATATCAGGCTCATGCAGTGCTGCACTTTTTTTCATGAAGGCATCCGCATCTTTTTTCGCTAATATGTCTGCTTGAGACGCAGTTTCAGGATTTTTACTATATTCCTGCCGTCTATCATCGAAATAATTTGCTTTAGCTTCATCTCTATATTTCTGCTGTGCTTTACTTGCAGTTGTATTACGTCCGCACCCTGTCCCCTTTTTAGCATCAGTAAAAGCTTTTCGCGCAGCCATATATTCAGAGGCAGTCATGTTATTTAAAGCCTCTTGTTGACGGGAGACTTGTCGATCAAACTCTTTGAGATAACCTGCTTTGTCGAGCTCCCTTTGGCATTAAAGCATATTTCTCCAAAGGTCTTTTTCTCTAAAGTTAAAAGACTTTTGGTTGGCCCATGTTTGGTATTGTCTTGTTTTGGGGCAGTAGTGACACTGAGTTTTTCACCTGCACCAACCATTTTCTTAAGTTTTTGTGATGTAGATATGCCTGCTGTAGCGACTGCACTGATTTGACCAAGTATTTTTGCAAGTTCTTTAGATGCACAAATGAGCTCACCTTGTGTCTGTGCATTATTAACTGCGCGAACCCATTTCCCAATGGCAATTGCAAGATCAAGCGCATCTTTTCCTAAAGAATAGAAAGCATATGCGGCCATTAAACTGTTAGCAAGTGGCCCTAAAATTGGGACCATTGAAATAATTTCCCATGTCACAAAGGTAGCAACAGTAAGCGGCAATTGTTCAGCCATACTTTTTAGCGTATTACCCATCTCTTCACCCATGATTTTACGGGTTTCATGGGCCTGATAGGCATAGACCAAGATAAATTCGAGTTTCCATGCAAAGCTTTTATCGGAGTAGTTTTTGTCTGCTTCAGGCGCTAATCCCAAGCTATCTTTAAGTTGATGTGGCTGTCTCAGCGCAAAATCGTACAGATTCGGTCCAGCAGCTAAACCCAATGGATCAGGGGTTAAATAGCGCTCATGCTTCGCATCAAAATAACGGTTGGTATTGTAATGAAGATGGGTTTCTTGATCGAAATACTGATTTGAACCTCTGAGGTTAAACTCAACGTAACCTAAGCGGTTATTTGTTGTCGGTGAAGCATATAAGTAATCGCTTAATTGTGCTTGCCAAACTACTTTTCGATTGCGGTCTGTTAATGCAATCGGGGCATCACGATGGTCGACATGCACATAATACAATTCCCCCTGATCAATCATTGCCACAGGGGTCTGGTTCATCCAAACATAGCTTTTTTCGATGGTGCCTTTCGCATTTGCTTCTGCAACCAATACTTGCCCATCATAAAAGCTATAGGTGGTCTTGGCTGTTTTCCCAACCGTTTGTGTGGTGGTTTTCTTTAAGCGTTGTCCAAATAGGTTGTATTGGTAGCTTGCGATGGTAAGTTGATGACCATCTTGTAAAGTATCAACTTTACTTAAGCGGTTGAGGCTGTCATAACTGAACAACAGAATACGCCCATCATCCTCAAGCCAACGCTGTCTGCCCAATGCATCAAATTGTGCCCCATAGTTTATCTGTTGTTGAAAGGCTGTCTGACCTTTCGGTGTAGGTAACGGTAAAATCGTTTGTACTGTTTGAACGGGATCAAGTAGGTTAATCAGCTTTTGTGAAAAGCGGATCGGATGTTGTAAGGGGGCAGTTTGACCCAGTGTGGTTTTTTGATCAGCAGTGTAAGTGTCTTCGTTCTCCCAGGTGGTCTCTCCCGTATAGGCATTGCCTGAGTTGATGACGTTGCCATATTGGTCTTTACGGGTTTGATGAATAAGTCCATTGCCAAAGTAATAACCATGTTTTGAATAGGTATCTTGTGTGGTATTTAATCCACCCACAATGGTTTGTGTTAGGAATCCTTTTTTTAATTGGATCGAAGCAAGTAGTCCTGCTTTTGCTTCAGTGGCCGTGCGATATTGGTAGAGTAGTTTTTCTTGGTTAGGTAGGGTCTTTTGGATCAGTTGCCCTTGTTCGTTGTATTGGTAGTGAATGGTCTTTTGTAAGCCATCAATCAAATATTCATGCTCAAGCAGTTGTCCTTGATCGTTATATTTAAAGCGTTCTTCGCCAGCATGGTATTTGATTTGGACGGGTTTGTTTTCTTCGCCCCAAATGATATAGCCATGTTCATCTTCTTGCTGCTGGGAATTTTGGGCAATCATTTCAATGATTCGACCCACTTGGTCTCGTATGTAGCGTATTTGGCTGCCATCTGTGAGTGTTTGCCCAATAATCAAGCCTTGATCGTTATATTGGTAACGGGTCGTTCCTGTGACGGGGCTGATCACTTCAACCAAGTCGCCAAAGTCATTGTATTGATAGCGTGTAATCCGTCCTTGCCCATCGATTTGTTGTTCTGATTGAATCGGGCGTTGCCAATCCAGATCAGCGGTTGAAGCAACCATGCCTTGCAAATCATTTAGTGTTCTTGAGGGTAGATTCGGTCGTGTTACGGATTGATTGGGTGCGCTTTGCTGAGGTTGTTCTTGTTGATTAAAGTCATGGCTTTGATCAATCTCACCTTTCGGGGTTAGTAGCTGTGCCTGTGTAACCACACCATCATTGTTTTTGATCAATTTAATTTGATTGTTTTGTTGGTCTGCAATGCTTTCTAATTGCTGGTTGTTGTCATAACCAAACTGTGTTTTTTGGCCCAGGCTGTTGAGGATGCTTTTGATTTGACCTGTTTGGGTATACGTGAGCGTGGTTGTGCCTTGAACTGTTGTAATTTGAGTGATATTTCCATCAAGATCATAAGCGAGTGTATAGGTTTTTCCATCAATGTCTCGGTAGTGATTAATTCTTCCCAAATCGTCATATTTGAAATTTAAATGTAATTGATTTGGATAAATCACTTGTGAGATACGCTGACTATCGCCTTCGTACACGTATTTCACCTGATTGACACCCCTTTCCCACCCAAGACGGCCAAGGGAATCATAACCATAGTTCTTTTCTCGACTCAGTTTTTCACCAAAAGGGGAATATCCTGTTTCAGTAATCTGAATGAGCTGTCCTGTACCATTGTAATGATATTCTTTTTGGTATTGTTGACCTGCAAGAACACTGGTTTGGAAAGGACTTTATTATTTTCTAGTGTTGTTTTAGAAATCAGGTTGCCTGCTTGATCATATTTAAAGGCTAAACCTTGCTGAGTCGTTAAATCTAAAACCGATGTGATATGACCATGTTCATCATATTGGTAGGATTTATTTAAGGTATGACAGCTAGAACAGCCTGCACCACGAACATCTAGCAGATAGTATTGTGTGCCCATGATGCGATAACGATAGGTGGTTTGCTCTCCAAGGGCGTTGGTGACCACATTTGTATAAATTGGACTGAGCTTTTGAGCCGTGTTTTTAACTGTTAGGTCATAGCTGATCTCTACACGTCCAATGCCATTGGCATGTTCACTGACAATGGCACGGTTCCACTGATCATAGCGCCATCGGGTTTCGAGTTGCCATTGCTGACGATTGGGATCGAGTCGCCATTTTGAGGTCAGTTGATGGGGTAAATGACCTTGGTAGGCATATTTGAGCCTTTCACCATTTGGATAGACTACTTGAACTAAATTATGGTTTCGATCCAGAAAGTACTGATAGTCACCTATAGGTGTACTGACTGTAATTTGAGGTAGACCATAAGATGTGAGTTTGTAATGCCAGCCTAAAGCATCTCCTCGTGCATTTTCAACACGGGTTAAGCGGTCTTGTACATCATAACGTAAGGTATAAATGGCTTCTTTTTCATTGCGAACTTGGATCAGGTGTGCCAATTGTGGATCTTTAGTCATCGCTTCAAAGTGGTAGTTGGTTTGGGCTTTATGCCAAATCCAACCTGATCCATCAATGCGTCTTTCTACCCAACCATCTTGTGGGTCTTGAGATAAACCACGAATGACATAGCTTTGATCCTGCATCGGGATTTTTGTTTTTATAAAGTTAATTCGTTTGCCTGTTTCTAAACGAATTTGAATGATATCGGATTGTTCATAGAGTTTGATATCAAAAGAGCTGTACCAACCATCGCCCATATCTGTTGAAGCATGGCTATGGCTGTTGTAATAGCGTGAAAAAGACAATCCTTCAAAAGCAGGGGATGCTTTGAAGTCATCCACTTGTTCAAATTTATTGCCGTTTAAAACATTGATCGGGTTCCCCACACCCGTATCAATGCCCCCACAAGCATAGGTTGGTCCTTCACTTTGTGTGACAATCGCAAAAGACGATTGTGCATTACAATGACTGAGATCAACCGCTCCTGCTTGTAATCTACTTTCTATACTAAATA